ATCTTACTGGGGCAATGCCCAAGGGAGTGGTATGAGTGAGGACACCCCCAGGACCCCAGCGCTGAAGAGATGGCAGTATGCAACTTCACCTTGAGGCAATAGTGGAGTGCATGGTCCCTAGTAAAACTCAGGGCTGTCTTGGGCTTTGGGGACCCAGTACCTACTCCAACTTTGGATGGGAACAGGATGCCAGATAGAGAGTAAAAGAAAATTGTTTATTGGGTTCACGCCTCCATGATGCTTTTTGTGTTGGATTTGGCCTTACATGGAACCAGTTATCCAGATCATCTTGATCTCCTTGCCTATTTATTCCTTCAGGAATGGGCTTGCTGGTCTATCCCATCACTGCTTTTGTTAATGTCACACGCTCACAGCTGGAGAGGAATTTGCCTCAGGAGCTCTTTGTGTCTTGGCCACATCTGATAGAGAGGAGACTCTTGACTTTGAACTTTCCAATTAGTGCTCAAAGGAGTTAAGACTTGTGGGTGTTATGCTGCGATAAATGTCTCCTGCGTGTGGGAGGAGTTTGAGTCACACGAGGCAGGAGGTAGCATACTGGGACTTGGTCCCTCATGCGATAGTGTTCAGAGGTGGAAAGTCAAGGAGGTGAGTGGGTCAGGTGCACGTTGCCTTGGCTATGGCTGGCTATGGTTGGAGTGGGCTCCTGATAAAGGACTAAGTGTGATGTCCTGCCTTCCTCTCTCTCCCGGTGTCTCTCCTCTCTGTGCTCCTGCCTTCTCCTTCCTCCCCCACGGGGTGACACATCCTCTACAACCATGAGACTGATTTCTGCTCTTTATGCCAACCTACTCTCGGCCATTCTATTGTGGCAACAAAAAATGGAATTCTTCACTGCCTGGTAGAACTGAAAAAGGGAAATCTCCAAATCTATAGTGGGGGAATCTCACAAATTTCTCTGTTAGCAACATGTAGATCAGCTAGGCAGAAAATCAACAAGGATGCAACGACCCGAGCAGCACCATCAGTCAGCTGCATTTCATCGACATTGCACACTCCCCCAAACAATAGGGGACATATATTCTTTTTAAGCTATTCAAGTCAATTAGATTAGGTCTAAAGTGATCTCTGCACAAATTAAATTATAATCTGACTTCCACACTTTAACTTGTGATTTAACTTGGGAGTATTTATTTATTTTGGAAGTCAGAGAGAGAGAGAAAGAGAGAGAGAAAACAGAGATCTTCTATTTACCCAAGCAGACTGCTTCTGTACTTAAGCCCCCCGCCCCGTCACCTCCGTCATCTTGACCACCACCATCTAGATATAACCTGACTCTGTGCTCGCTTCGGCAGCACATATACTATATATAACCTGACTCCAATCTAGGTGAAGCTCTCAGATTCCTTACTGAATGGTTTTTTTTTTTTTTTTTTAAGCTCAAATACACCTGACTCCATTTGCTTTCCCAAACATTTTCTTTTGACAAGGCTCATATGGAAAATTCACCATGGTAGACCACACCTTGGGCCATAAAATACATCTTCCACAGTTAAGAAGAATGAGAAGCATTCTAAGGGTATTCTCAGGTGACAAAGAATTCAACATAAAATCATTAATGGAAACACAGGTAGGAAAGTTGGAACATATTTCTAAATAACCCGTGACTCAAAAAAAAAAAAATAATAACCCGTGACTCAAGAGGTCTTTGAAAATCAATTTAGAGGGCTGGGCACTATAGCATAGTGGTTAAAGTCCTCACCTTGAACACGCTGGGATCCCATGTGGGCGCCAGTTCTAATCCTGGCAACCCTGTTTCCCATCCAGCTCTCTGCTTGTGGCCTGGGACAGCAGTTGAGGATGGCCCAAATCCTTGGGACCCTGCACCTGCGTGGGAGACCCGGAAGAGCTCCTGGCTCCTGGGTCCGGATCGGCTCAGCTCCAGCCATCGTGCTCACTTGGGGAGTGAACCATCGGACGGAAGATCTTCCTCTCTGTCTCTCCTCCTCTCTATATATCTGCCTTTCCAATTAAAATAAATAAATAAATACATCTTTTTTTAAAAAAAGAAAAAAAAAGAAAAGAAATTTAGGGTTCAGTGTCATGGTACAGTGAGTTAAGCTGCTGCTTGGATGCTGGTATCTCATACGGGTATGACAATTGGAGTCTGAACTGCTCTGCTTCTGATCTAGTGCCCTGCTAATGCACCTAGGAAAGCAGTGGAATATTTTTCAAGTGTGTGGAGTCCAGCCACTCATGTGGGAGACTGGATGGAATTCCTGGCTCCTAGCTTCAGCCTGGCCCAGCTTTGACTGTTGTGGTCATTTGGGGCAGTAAACCAGCAAATAAAAGACCTCTACCTTTCCTTCCCTCTCTCCCTCTGCAATTCTGTCTTTCAAGTAAATAAAATAAATCTTTTTTTAAAGATTTATTTATTTTTTATTACAAAGTCAGATACACAGAGAGGAGGAGTGACAGAGAGGAAGATGCTCCATCTGATGATTTGCTTCCCAAGTGACCGCAATGGCCGGTGCTGCGCTGATCCAAAGCCAGGAGCCAGGAACTTCCTCCAGGTTTCCCAGGTGGGTTCAGGGTCCCAAGGCTTTGGGCTGTCCTTGACTGCTCTGACAGGCCACAAGCAGGGAGCTGGATGGAAAGTGGAGCTGCCGGGATTAGAACTGGTGCCCATATGGGATCCTGGCACAATCAAGGCGGGGACTTTATCCGCTAGGCCATCGCACTGGGCCCAAATGAGTCTTTTTTTTTAAAAAGATTTATTTATTATTGCAAAGTCAGATATACAGAGAGGATAAATGAGTCTTTTTTAAAAAACTATTTTGAGTTACAGAAAAATTAAAATATAATTTATCAAAATTTGGGAGGGAGGAATGTGCCAAAATAATGTTTGGGGGAAAATTTACAGCAATGAGTGTGTACATTAGTGAAAGATAAAGATTTGAAGCTTATAGACTAAGTTTCTGTTTTGAGAAGCTGGAGGAAGCAGATCAATTTGAACCTAAAAGCAAGCAGAAGGAAAGAAACATCGGGAAGGAAATCCAGGTAAAACTCCATCTATCAAGGTGGTTCTCTGAAAAGCATAATACAATGTGTTAACACAGAGCCAGACTGAATAAAGAACAAATGAGAGAAAACATAAGTTATTGAATCCTAAGTGAAGGAGGCATCACCCCGATGGTACATCCCAATGACATTCAAAGGATAATAAAAGAATATTATGATCAACTCTGTACTCATGCATTTCATAACTTAGCTCCTTAGAGGAAAAAACTTCTGAAATGCACACAAAGAAGTTCACACACACTAGATAATCTAAAATTGTAGGAGACATCCTGAATAGGAAGAAACAATCCAATTCTTTTTTAATTAATTTATTTTTTTATTGGGAAGGCAGATGTACAGAGAGGAGGAGAGACTGAGAGGCAGATCTTCCGTCCGATGGTTCACTCCCCCAGTGGCTGAAACGGCCGGTGCTGGGCTGATCCGAAGTCACGAGCCAGGGACTTCTTCCTGGGGCTCTCATGTGGGTGCAGGGTTCCAAGGCTTTGGGCCGTCCTCGACTGCTTTCCCAGGCCACAAGCAGGGAGCTGGATGGGAAGTGGAGCTGCCGGGATTAGAACCAGCAACCATATGGGATCCCGGGCGTATTCAAGACGAGGCAAGATGAGGACTTTAACCTCTTGGCCATAGCACCGGGCCCAAATTCTTCATAATTTCTTCAGAAAATATTCACGGAAGCAGAGGAAAAACTTCCTAACTCCTTCTATGAGGCCAGTATTTTATTTTAACTATCTATGTATCTCTCTATGTATCTATCTATGTATCTATCTATCTATCTATCTATCTATCTATCTATCTACTATGTTTCAAAGGCAGAGTTAAAGAGCAAAGGAGAAACAGAACCAGAGAGAGATCTTTCATCCACTGGCTCACTCCCCAAATGACCACAATGGCTGGAGCTGGGCTGCTCTGAAGCCAGGAGCCAAGAACTTCTTCCCGGTCTCCCACCTGAGTGCATAGGCCCAAACACTTGAGCAATCCTTCGCTGATTTTCCAGGTGCATTATCAGGGGGCTGGCTTGAAAGTGGGGCAGCCAGGACAAAGTCTCCTGCGTGGATGCAGTGGCCCAAACACTTCAGCCATCCTCCTGCTTTTCCAGGTGTGTTATCAGAGCGCTGGATTGAAAGAAGAGTAGCCAGGACACACACTGAAGCCGCATCATATGGGATGCAGCACAGATGGTAAGTTAACCTGTTACATCACAGCACCTTGATATTACACCCCAACCAGCATTATTTTAATACCAAACCAAATGAAGATATTACTAGACAGGGAAACTACAAACCAGTATCTCTTGTGGACATAGACCAAAAAAACCCTCAGCAACAACCCAGTAATTTGTCCCACCCACCTTTCTTCATCCCTGGACCTCCCCACCCTAACCAGAGACCCATGGGTGTGCATCCCTCTCAACCATGCAAACAATATTAAAAATAAAGATTTAAAAGATGCAATGACAATCAAGAAAAAAAATCAGCTAGTAAAATGAATTTCTTCTCTCTACAATATGCAACAAGGCAAGGATGTCTTTTCAATGTTCTTGTTCAGTATCATACTAACTGTTAGCTGTTGTAATAAAGCAGAAAAAGAGAAAAATGTACATATTAGAATTAAAGAGACAAAACTGTATTTTACACAGGACTTGATCACCTAAGGACAAAAATTAGCAATGAATTTTCAAAAAAAGGAAAGACCCTTTTGTAATTAATACATGCGTACAGCAAGCTGAATATATGAAGTCAAATGTTTTCCACTTCTAATGGCACCCCCAGAATGCTTAGACGTAAAAATATAACTGTAAAACATCAGTGAACTAAATCAAAGATACTTTAAATAAGTTTATGCTCATGGTGAAAAGCTTAATTCTTCCCAAATTGAGCTACAGGTTCTGTGCAACCACAAGCTAGTTCATACAAATGAACACACTGATTTTGAAGTTTCTACAAAAAAACAAAGGACTTAGAATCATCACTATGAGAGTAAAGAACCTGCGTGTCATGGTTGCGCAGGGGCCATGCTAATTTTCTTTGTATCGTTCCAATGTTAGTATGTGTGCTGCCGAAGCGAGCACAATATGAGAATAAAGAACAATAACATTGAACGACTGACACTATCCAGTTTCAAAACTTCCTGCCAAGTTGTGCTAAAAAAGACATCCTAGTTTTGGCAAAATGGAGAGGTAGAGCCGAGAGTGAGAGGACCCGAGGGAGGGTCCAGAAGTCAATGACACAGTGATCTTTGATAAATATGCAAAGGGAATTCAACTGCAGAGAGGAAGTTTCGTTTTTGAGCAGTTGGATACACCCGTTTTAAAACATGAATCTAGAGACACATCTTGTGTCTTTCACACATACTTAAAATGCGTCATAGACCTTTCTGCAGTTTGGATATGGTGTCCCCTCCAGCGCGTGTGCAGCAAGTTCGGCTCCCAGCGGAGTAGTCTGGGAAGGCCGGTGATCTAGAAGAGGTGTCGCCTAGAGAAGGAGCAGCAACCCCCGGGAGGGATGGAGACCGAGTACTGGCTTGTGGGATTGGATTAGTTCCTGTGGAGGCTGGCAGCTGCAAAGCAACTCAGCTTCCTTTGCAGAGACAGAAAATGGAGTAAGCCCTCCCCCTGCTGGCCCTCCGATTGTCTTCGTCGTGCTTACCACCCTCAGTACTTTTTTTTTATACCTGAGTTTCATTTGCTTAATGGCTTATTACTTCTTACAGGAAGGGAAACACAGAAAGGAAATATTTCCACAGTTCATGGAAGATTTGACTGTCTAGGTGGGTTGTTTGCCTAAGCAGACACATGGATTCCACCTCAGAATCCCTGCTCAAAAATGCTGAAACTAACGGCAAGTCATTAAAAAAAGGAGGTCTGGGGCGGGACTCGGTAACATATTTGTCAAGGCTACACATTCCCGTGAGATGGTAGGAGACAGCATTTCTATTACCGCGGTTAACAAAAACATATTGTGTGTTGACCATTAAAAAAAAAGTACGTGAGGTAATGAGTGTTATAGAAAAGAAATATGCATCGCTTTGACAGATAAACAGAAAAACCAGCCTTTTCCGATGGACGATGGTGAAGTGCTGGTGCACCCATATGGCCACGGGCGGAAAAACAGCAGCGCCTTTGGTCCAGGTGGAGAGGAAACCGTGCAGGTAGGTGGCAGGGAGGTGGACAGTTGGTGGAGCGCAGGGGCAACAATGCCCGCGGATGTGTTTGCGGGCGCCCTGCGCTTCCCTCTTCTATGCTCTGCATGCAAATGAGCTCTCTTAAACCGCTCAGGCAGTACTGCGGGTTGGAAGTGAATGTTTTCGGCTGGGGTAAGAGGCTATGCCTGATAGGAAAGAGCCAGAAGCACTTAGGCAATGGCAGTTAAAATGAGTGATGGTAATCGGAGCCGTGAGCCATGGACAGCAGCGATGGCAAAGGCCGTGATAACGGTCTTGGAGAGGGTGATCAGATGTTAGGAGAGCCGTTTCCATGGGTTCTCCTTGTCTTCCAGCGGATGCTCAGTTTGTCTGGGATTTGGTTCCGTTTCACCAGCAGCCACACTGGAGAAGGTCGTGATGTCTCAAGTCTTGCTCCTCATCCACCAAGAGATGTGCTGAGCCTCTAACAAGGGAAGACAAGCCAAATAATGCGACTCTAAGGCTAGCAGGCACCTGGCCATCTCAGCCACAGGCGAGGTCAGTTCCCCCCACCGGGAGGAGAGAGCAGTCAGCAGTGTGCGCTCCAGGACCACTCCAGGCTGGAGGTTGGTGTGGGAGCGTCCTGCGATTACTGAGAAGGAAGCATCCCATTTACCCATCACAGTGAAAGCTAGCTGAAAATTTACATTCCATGTTCTTGAAAATGAAGAAATTGAGGCCTGGCGTGATGGCTCAATGCTAAATCCTCACCTTGCAAGTGCCAGGCTCCCATACAGGAGCTGTTTTATGTCCTGGCTGCTCCACTCTCATCTAGCTCCTTGCTTGTGGCCTGGGAAAGTAGCCAAGGATGGCCCAAAGTCTTGGGACGCTGCACCCATGTGGGAGACCCAGAAGAAGCTCCTGGCTTCCAGCCATTGCAGCCATCTGGGGAGTGAGCCAGCAGATGAAAGATCTTTTCTCTGTCTCTCCTCTCCATAAATCTGATCTGCCCTTCTAATGAAAATAAATACATCTTTTATTTACAATTTAAAAAAGAAAATGAAGAAAATGAGCAATCCCTACTCTTATGAATAAATGTTACTTAAGAAAAAATTTATTTTCCCAAATGAAACATCCTCTTTTTTTTTTCTGTTTGATGTTAAAAAAAAAATACCCCCATCCTTATAAGGGATTTGATGAGGGGGGTGCAGTGTGTGGATGTTGTGGTGCAGTGGGTTGAGCCACTGCTGGGGCACTTGCATTCCCTGTTGGAGTCCTGGCTGCTGCATTTCGGATCCAGTTCAGCTAAGGCATCCTGGGAGACAGCAGATGACGGTTCAAGAGCTTGGGCTCCTGAGGCTCACCTGGGAGACTGGGATAGAAATCCAGGCTCCTGGCTTTAGCCCAGCCTAGCACTGGCTGTTGCAGGCATTTGGGTAAGTCAACCAATAGACAAATGATCTCTCTCTCTCATTCCTTCTTTCAAGGGAATAAAGACAAATAGACATGAAAAAGAGGACTTGGGCCAGCATTGTGGCATAGTTAGTTAAGTCATCGCCTACAGTCCAGGGTCCAGTATGGGTACTGGTACAACCCCAGCTACTGGCTTCACTTAGAACCAGCTCCCTGTTACTGCACCTAGGAAAGCAGCAGAGGATGGCCCAAGTCCTTGGATTTTTGTACCCACATGGATGATCCGGAAGAAGTTCTTGGCTCCTGCTTCACCTTGGTCCAGCCCTGGCCACTGCAGCCACTTAGGAAGTGAATCCGTGAGTAGAAGTTCTCTCTCTCTCCCTCCCCTTCTGTCTCTCTTTCTCTCTCTCTCTCTGTCTCTCCCTTTCTCCCTTGGTAACTCTGCCTTTCAAATACATAAAAATCAATCTTTAAATAAAGGAAGAATATGTTTTACAGAAGGGCATAACAAAATGCAAGTTCAGTAGTAATACTGCCACTCAAATGAACATCTTTCAGGTAGTTCTTATGCAAGACACACACACATGCATACGTGCACAAACACACACACAGAGCTTGACAAAATACTCTTGCTGTCTCTTGTGTATCTTTTCTACACTACAACTTTCGATGGCTGCATAATTGTGACAGTGGGACAAATGATGAGTCCCAGTATTGCCTTTTTTTTTTTTAAATCTACCTACCTATCTCAAGCTTATAAGACCTTAACTACCATAAGAAACTCATTATTTGTGATTGCTGTCCATGTTTGCCTGTTTTTGCTTGTGTTCTGGGAAGTGGTTTTGGGAACTGTTCAAATCTTTGAGAAAAGTGGAGATGCTAAGCAGATTAGAATCTGGGACATGACACCACAGATACCACTGGAGTTAACTCTGTCAGTGATGTGAAATGAACCACCTCGAGGGAAGAGATACCAGGACTTTGAAACCTGGAGCTCCCTTCACCTCCTGCACACCAGTGCACTCCTCTCAATGACACTGTCCCCTGCTAGTGGGGCAAGAAAGTCATTCCAACCACATCCCATTATGTTGGATAATTGGGTACACTCATCTTGACCCAAGAAAAAGCTCTTTCCCTATCTCTACTTACTTTGCACCATTAAAACCTCCCATCCTTGGATTCTAGAAGCAGAAGAATATCAGCAAGGTGTTAGAAGAACTCTTTCCAAAGCGAATCCTGGGAGACTCAGACCAACGAGAGCTTGCTCTCACAGCTCCTCCTGAGGTCCACCAGCACACCCCAGAGCTTTAGGACCCCATCCCTAGGGGACATGGTGCCACACTGCCCTTGGAGGGTGAACGCTGTGGTAGCAATAGCAGAAGTGGCTCAGTAATGGGCACCTTGTATCACTATCAGAGGTCAGAGGGTAAGACATCCTATTTTTGAATGTTACATGGTACTTACCTTTAATTTAAAATATTTGTTTCTGTTAACTATTTGAAAAACAGACTGAATGGGCCTGGCACAGTAGCCTAGTGGCTAAAGTCCTTGCCTTGCATGTGAAGATATCCCACATGGGTGCCAGTTTGCGTCCCGGCTGCTCCACTTCCCATCCGACTCCCTGCTTGTGGCTTGGGAAAGCAGTAGAGGATGGACCAAAGCCTTGAGATCCCAGAATAAGCTCCTGGCTCCTGGCTTTGAGGAGTGAACCGTGAATGGAAGATCTTTCTTGCTGTATCTCCTTTTCTCTGTAAATCTGCCTTTTCAATAAAAATAAATAAAACTTAAGAAAAAAAAAAACAGATGGAGATACAAATTTTCTGTCTGCCGGTCCACTTTTCAGGTGCTTGAGCCATCCCCTGCAGTCTCCCAGAGAACACAGGAGCAGGAAACTGGAATTGGGAGCAGAGCCAGGAATTGAATCCAGGTACTCCAATCTCAGATGCAGGTGTCTCACGTGACATCTTTTTAAAAATCTATTATTTTGTATTGGGAAGACAGATTTACAGAGAGAAGGAGAGACACACACACAGAAAGAGAGCTTCCATTTACTGGTTCACTGCCCAAATGACTGCAACAGCCAGAGCTAAGTTGATTTGAAGCTAGGAGCACGGAGGCTCCAGGTCTCCCACATGGGTGCAGGGTCCCAAGCACTTGGGTCATCTTCCATTGCCTTCCCAAATGCATTAGCTGGGAGCTGGATAGGAAACAGAGCAATGACATAAGCTGAGCCTGTGGGCACTTGGATATGGGATGCCAGCAGTGTCACAAGCAGAGGCTTACCCTGCTGTGCCACATGAGATCCCAGAAGTCATTTCTGTAAGAGGGAATGCAGAGTGCCCCTTCCCAATGGGGCCCAGCAGATGAGCTCCAGGCTGGCTGGGTCTTGCTCTAAACCACTCCCAATTCCCAAGACATTCGGTGCCAGCTGTCTTTCCTTGGAGATTTTCTTCTTGTGGGTGAAGGAGCCATCTTCCATTGTACCTTCACAAGAAGCTGGATCAGAAGTGGAGCAGGTAGGATACTGGCATTGCA